GGTAGTTTCAAACTGCTGACCTTAAGGTTCACAGTCGATTGGTAACCACTACGCTACCAGATTTACAGCCTCAGATATACAGGCTTGCTATGAGTCAGAACTGACTCCATGGCGTGTAACAACCATAGGGTTACTATGAGTTGGAATGCACTTGATGGCAATGGGTTTGGGGGGTTATTATCTCTGTATCAAATCTGAGTCAGTGCCCAGAGCAGGCAGCCTAGGGTGGGCCCAGGAGAGGTGGTATAAGTTGAGATCTGTCTGGTTCAAGATAAAGTCTGTGAGCCCTCTTATCCAGGAAAGGGCATGAGCTACTCCATACAGTCTAATCACAAAGATTCTTCCATCCTCCTGCCGACCACTCTATGCATCATGAGTCACCCCAAAAGTCCGGACTCTATTAGTGACAGCTCATTCTTCAGCATTTGTCAGCCAAGACTACAAAGCAGATAAGAGTCAGCCTGGAATTCTTGGTGTGACATTGTACAATCAGCACTGGACTTTTGTTGTTGTTGTCAGGTGCCATCGAGTCGGAACCGACTCATAGCGACTCCATGCGCAGCAGAACGAAACAATGTCCGATCCTAGGCCAACCTCACTACTGCCGCCACATTTGAGTCCATCAATGATGCCACCTGGCCGATCCATCTCGTTGGAGGTCTTCCTCTTTTTCTCTGACCCTCCACCTTACCCAGCATGACATCCTTTTCCAACGATTGTTTCCTCCGGACAATATGTCCAAAGTAGGAGAGACGAAGCTTAGCCATCCTGGCCTCCAAGGAGCATTCTGGCTGCACTTCCTCCAAAACAGATCTATTGGTTCTTTTGGCAGTCCATGGCACTTTCAGTATTCTCCTCCAACACCACAATTCAAAGGCATCAATTCTTCTATTATCTTCCTTATTCACTGTCCAGCTTTCGCATCCATATGAAGCTATTGAAAACACCATGGCCTGGGTCAGGCGCACCTTAGTCCTCAAGCTGACATCTCTGCTCTTCAATACTTTAAAAAGTTCCTGTGCAGCAGATTTGCCCAGTGCAATATGTCATCTGATCTCTTGACTGCTGCTTCCGCGAGTGTTGATAGTTGATCCAAGAAGAATGAAGTCCTTAACAATTTCAATCTTTTCTCCATTGATAAGAATGTTGTTTATTGGTCCAGTGGTGAGGATTTTTGTTTTCTTGACATTGAGATGTAATCCATATCAAAGGCTGTGCTCTTTGATCTTCATAAGTAAATGTTTCAAGTCCTCTTCACTTTCAGCGATCAAGGTTGTATCATCTAAAAAAAGAAAAAAAAAAAAAAAAGGTTGTATCATCTGCATATCGCAGGTTGTTAATGAGTCTTCCTCCAATCCTGATGCCATGTTTCTCTTCATAGAACCCAGCTTCTCATATTATTTGCTCAGCATACAGAGCACTAGACTATGAACCACTAAGTAGGCTATTCAAACCCACGAGCAACTCCTTGGAAATTCTACACAGGGTCACTATGAGTCAGAACCCACTCAATGGCACTTAACAACAAAAATGGAACACTGGGGTGGCACTGTAGGATATGCAATGGACTGCTAACCACAAAGTTGGTGATTCAAACCCACCAGTCTCTCCTCAGAAACCCTATATAGGGTCTCTATGAGTCAGAACCAACTCACACTTTACAACAATGGAAAACTAGAGCATGATAGTTAGGATGTGGGCTCAGGAGGCAGACTGCCTATATTTGGGACTTTGACTCCCTTACTTCCAAGCTGTGCAACCATAAGTAGCTTACTCAGCCTGAGTTTCCACTTCCTCGTTTGTAAAATGGGAATAACAGTTCCTATGTCATAGGATTGATATAATGATTAAATGAGATAATATGTGTGAAGTTCTTGACATGTTGTCCAGCACACAGTAAACATTCAATAAAATGAAGTCATTTTGTGGGTGATGATAATGATGGAACATTGGTAACCAGGAAGGGGCTCCTTTGGGGCTGTACCCACCTGTGGGAAAAAGCTCAAGCTCCTTTTCTTTTCTGTGTTTCCAAGTTTTACCAAGTATTTCAAGGAGCTCTGGTAGCATAGTGGTCACGAATTGGACCGCAAACTGCAAGGTCAGCAGTTCGAAACTACCAGCTGCTCCACGGGAGAAAGATGAAGATATACAGCCTCGGAAACCCTGTTCAGGGTCGCTATGGGTCGGAACCGACTCAACTCGACAGCACTTAACAACAACAACCAAGTATTTCAGGCCTAGCAGAGGACTGCCTCTTCCAGAAAGCCACCCTGACCATTCCAGTCCATAATTGATATTGTCATAGCTGAGCTCCTTCAGCCACAGCCTGTATAGACTACTTCAGCAACCAAACTCTCTCAAGCAGCCAGGAACTCCTAGAGGACAGGACACCCTCTCTTCCGGCTTCCTTCCCATGGCCTGAGTGAGCTCCCTCATCAGGCTCTTAGACTGACTTCGGTATAGCATGGATGTCTGTGACTCAGCTCACACCTCCCTCCCTTTCATCTCCTCACCCCTCCCCTTCCCTGCTTCCATCAGGCAGGGCAAGGGGTTGGAACCTTGACCCCAGTGAACAGTGGTTCCCACACTTTGGGATTTCAAACCCTATAAAATGTCCAAAGAAACATGGGGTTGGGAGGATGAACAGAGGGGCCAAGTTTTTCTTTTGCCAAATAAGGATATTTTAAAAAATCTGTTCTCATCATCATTTTAGTAAGGAAAGCTGCTTTCACACCAATAAAGCAGGAAGGTCATAATTTCTGATTCAAGGGTAATACTTTAAGGTGAATAAACCTAGCTTTATTGAAAAACAAATAAGCCTCATTGTATCCCTGACTTTGCTCCTTTCTGCATGTAACAACTTTGATCCCCACTGACTTGTGTCCAGTGGGCTTGGGACCTCTATTCTGAAGGAAGCTCCCACTAAGCTGCAATCACCCACAAAGACGAGAGGAGCCCAAAGACTTTTACTTTGGATTAAGCGAATCAGTCTTCTTGTTAGTTTTTCCAAAGTAGATTCATCCTGAAACCAGACCTTAAAGCCTAGGGAGTTAAGGGATGAGGATGCTGCAGAGTGGGTGAGGGAGACTATGGGGCCCCTCCCACTGTTCCTTCTCCCCTCCTTGCGCTGTGGGGACCCAAAGTGGACCATAAAACCCATTTCGAGGTGGGGCAGGCAGTGTGAGAAGCCTAGCTCCAAAGCTGAAGGCTCTCCCTTTTAGCTCTTGCCCCTAGCCTGGCTTTACCAAAGAAAGATCCTCTATCTGAAGGGATGGACGTTTACACCTAGGGGAAAGAAGCTAGGGGGTTGGAGTGGTGGGGATGTTGGACTGGGCCTTTTCCCCTTCTTCCCTTCACAAGCTGAGATACCCAATCTCTTGGAGCCCAGGAGAGGAAAAGTGGTCACTACAGCCGGAGGTGGGGGCCCAGGCACCCGCTGGGCCACCGCTGGGCGGACTCTGATAGAATCTGAACTGTGGAGCACAGCCAGGCTCTTTCATCCGTAGCCAGACGGGCTGGGGCTGGGCCTGGATCCGGAGGGGCGGCGCGATCCTCTTCCGGCCAGGCTTTGCGCAGCAGCCAGGGGTCCTCTGGGGCCCGATTGGGAGAGGCGTCTAATTCGCACTCCCACCCTGGTATTCTCCAGCCCAATTGTTCTCGGGAAAGGCGGGAGTTCCTACACTAAATTAGCATAGAAAACTTCGGGGGAGCGGGGGGAGCGGGGGGAGCTGCGGTTTACTGCACCGTGATCTAAAGAGTCAGTGTCTTTCGTGGACGTACTTGCTCTGCCGAGACGCGTCGTGCTGGGTGGCCCGGTGGATGCACCCGAGCCCTGAGTTCTGTGTAGACGCTTTGGAAGCTAGCCCGTATTCCCACGCTCCGCAAGCTGGAGACCCTTCAGTTTAACTCTCAACAGGGGCCGCCATGGACTTGAAAATGCAACTTCCCAGTTGAGCTACCGCACACGACAAATCCCTGGTCTGAATCCCGTGGCCAACTTAGCTGCTGGAAGCCCAGAGTCCCGGGGCTGCAAGTTCTAGGTGTGGAACTGAGTTGAGAGAGTCTAAGGGGGTGGGGGGTGGAGAATCAGCATGGCCGGCGGGGGGGGGGGTTGTCCAACCCGTCACAAATGTGTAATATTCGAACATGTGAGGGGGCTATGCTTGTGTTCTCGCTGTGTGCAAGCAATGTGGGGGACTGGTGGGGGGAAGAAATAGGGCTCAAGAATGAGTTAGAGAATGGATCCTCTGAGGAGTCTAACACTGCCAGCCCGGGTCCCAGCACAGCTCTTGAACAACCCCAAACTCTCTCCAGCCCTAAGAAGTCCCAGGTTCCACGCACACGAGGTATTGGGCCCGACCCACAGACGTAGCTCACGCCACGGCTTGGCTCGTGTTCTTAGCCATTTCCAAACCCTAAGAGTCTTGGGACTGGGACTTCAACAGCTGTGGAGAAACCTGAGCACAGGGCAGGAATCACTCGTTGCAGAAGAGGAAGAGGGATCAGGGTTGTCCTTTGGAGTCCCCTAGGATAGTGTCTTTGGGACTCCTGGTGTGGCGCTGTAGAATCAGCACCGGACTGTAAATCACAAGGTCGGCAGTTCAAACCCACCAGGTGTTCCTTGGAAACAGGGTTGCTGAGTCGGAACCGACTCGATGACAATTAACAACTTAACATGGCAGTGTTTTGCAGTATCTTCCGAAGCCTCACTGAGGTTAAGTACCGTAGAGTCTATCTCATAGCGACCCTGTATAGAGTTTCCGAGGACAGGTTGGTGGCTTTTAAGCGCCGACTTTGCGGTTAGCAGTTCAGAGCTTACCCTACAGTGAATGCTTGGGAAAAAGCGAGCCCTTTAAGACTATGCCCACTGGGCAAGTCTCGGCCTCTCGGGGGAGAGGAGGGATGGGGCGGAACAATTGGCCCCACCCACCGGCCAGAGCCCGCCCCCGGAGCCCCCGCCCCGTCCCCGGCACTCCGCCGGCGGCGCCTTTGATGTTCGACCCGCCAGCTCCCGGAGCCGCTTAGCCCCGCGCCGGCGCCCGCAGCCCGCCCTAGCGAGTCAGCCCGCGGTCCACCCGCCGCGATTCGGGATCGGAGGTCCGGACTGCAGGCTCGCCGCCTCCCGGGCCGGCTCCGTGCCGCGCACTCCCCGCGTTCAGCGCCCGGCGCCCTGACGGGCGGAGCGCAGCATGCCGCAGCTGGACTCGGGAGGAGGTAGCGCTGGCGGCGGCGACGACCTCGGCGCGCCCGACGAGCTGCTGGCCTTCCAGGATGAGGGCGAGGAGCAGGACAAGAGCCGCGACAGCGCCGCGGGCCCCGAGCGCGACCTGGCCGAGCTTAAGTCGTCGCTCGTCAACGAATCCGAGGGCGCGGCCGGCGGCGCGGGGGTCCCGGGGGCTGGCGCCGAGACCGAGGTCCGGGCGGAGGTGAGCTCCAGCCCGCGCCCCGCTCCTCGACCCCGGCGCCCAGCTCGCACTCATCCGCCCCCTCCCTCCCGCGGTCTCATGGTCCCCATTCCCCGGAGTCCCCATCCTTCCCATTCACCGCCCCTCTGGCTCTCTCTCCAGGCGCTCGGGCGGGAACACACTTCGCAGAGACTTTTCTCAGACAAACTTCCAGAGTCTCTGGAGGACGGTGAGTTTTTGCATGGACTGGCCTCCCTTCTTCCCGCTAAGGCCCGGGCCTCGGTGGAAAGGGGGACGCCCATGACTGGAGGAAGCAGAAGGGGTGTATTACCGCCCCCCTCCCGCCCCCTGCAGTTCTAGGAGGCGGTAAAAGCGAAGGTGTGGGGGGCGGGTTTCCCCGGTACTGGCTGGCTCGAGTCACTTCCGGTGCCCTGACCTTTATAGGAGTAAACAGACCCCAGCCATCTCCGCCTCCTCTCCTGCCCAGGTGACTGACTAATCCCCTGTCCTAAGGAGAAAGCTTTGGCCAACTTTGGCTGAGGGTCGGGCTGGGTGGGAGGGGGTCAAGTAGAGGCCACCTAAAGGAGGCCTGGACTCCGTGTCCTTCTCCAAAAACTTGGTGCTCTGGACACCCTCAGCTTGTTCCGTCTCAAGTCACAAACTTGAATGGGAGGGGGGGAACCCTCTGCAATTTTTAGATCTCACAAGCGGTGATAGCCTTCAGCTCCAGCGACCCAGGCTGGTGTGTCTGACCCAGCTGTGGTTTTTCCAGGCCTGAAGGCCCCTGAGTGCGCTAGCGGCATGTACAAAGAGACGGTCTACTCAGCCTTCAATCTGGTCATGCACTATCCACCCTCCTCGGGAGCAGGGCAGCACCCCCAGCCGCAGCCCCCTCTGGTAAGTGGCCCCAGCACCAGTGTCCACCCAGTGCCGGCTACCTCCTTGACCCGGGTATGTGAGGCATGGAAAAGAAGTGAGTTTTGTCTACAACAATATAGGTCTTAGAATTCTGCCGTGGTCCTTTTCTTCAGACACACCCAGAGGGCCACAAACCAAAAAGAGATCTTTGCTGAAGGAAGGAGGCGCCCCACGAATATGTCCTCCTGTTCTCTGTTGACTTTTGTCTTCCCAACTTGTTCAAAAACAGGTGCAGGCCCTCTGCTGGTGCTGGCTGATGCTGGGGTGGGGGTCTTCTCCAGCTGAGCAGAGAATTTTGGCGGGCATATCCTCTTCCTGGTGGGGAAGATGGTGTGCTTAATGTGGTTCGGTGTACTGTTACCCTTTTCCCACCAAGCCTTGAGTGTTGTGCTGGAGAGAAAGGGCCAGAAAAGCTGCTCTGGTTCATGACTCTGGGTTGTGCAGGAGAAAAATGCTCATTTTGCTCTTTGTCCTTGGTGTGAGTTGTGGATCCTGACCATGTTGTGTGGAAAGCGGGTTTCTGTGAAGTTGGCTTGGTCTTGAATGTATTAGAAAGGGTTTCAGAGATGGGATCGCTAAAGGGACTGTTTAATGAATTTGTGAATTGAATATTTTGAAGTCTCCAGTGCTTTTGAAGAGATTTAATGATCATTCCAAACCATGCTTTCCTGCTTATTGATGCAGGTGATCTGAGGTGTGAAGAGCCAACTCTCAGTGCTTTGTAGCAGTAATGTTGCGTTAAAATTATATATTCAGACTAAGCCTGAAATTGGGATGGGGAATCAGATTAGGGATCACTAGACTCCATGAAAGGTTTCAGGGGTTCTTATGGTCTGGTACTGGGCACTGAAGTGAGACCAGTGCAGGCAGGAATACCAGACTGGTGGTTCGAATGGCTGGTAATAGGAACCACCCAAAGGGAGGATAGGGTGACAGTACCAGAATGTTTCAGAGCAGGAATGGGGAGAGTTGTCCATGAGAGCGGTTTCATGCCGTAGCAGGCAGCAGGTGAGAAAGATACAGGCTTCTTTCCAGAAGTCCAGGATGGCAGACTGCCGACTCTAGAATGAACACCTTGCCCTTTAGACCCCCATTTCCTCATCTGTCAAATAAACACGGTGGTCTGAGAGGTCTGTATCTGACTTTATGCTCCAAGGTGATTGGGTATATGAGGCCGTTCATTTCCTTTCAAGACTGTGGGAAAGCAGACTTGCCCGCTGACCCCATCTCCTGATAGAGTGGCTCTCCCTAGAAAGCCTCCAGCCTACAAGAGGGAATGCTTAACAAAGACTCTTTTTGCCCCCAACTACAAGGTAGGAACCCTTAAGATTAGATTTTGGGCCAAGTTGACATAACCCACTACTGCCAAGCAACTGGCAAGCAAGTAGCTGGGACAGGGGCTTGAGTCACCATGGTAACCATGATTAGACCAATGCCCCAGGCCCAAGAACATTCCAGTAGGGCAGGCTCCCCTCCAGCCTCTCTTAACTTCACAGCCAGGCAAGGAAAGGATGCAGATTTGAGTTCCTTGAATGGTGTCGGCAGTTGGTGGGAAAGTGCCCTGAGAGGGGAGGGTCTCATTCTGGTCTCACTCTGCCATCAGGGTGTGGGTGATGGGACCATTTGGTGTCCTCGGGTCACTTTAGTCAAAGAGTAGGTGGGTGGTGGACTCCAGCAGTCAGGATCAAGAGAGGAGATGAGTTCCTTCTCTCCCCCTGCCCCCAGCATTGGATTCTTTCTCAGGCTACAGGAGATGTTTTCCTGTGTGTCAGGTTCTCCTGTAGGGGCAAATTCCCTCATCCTCCTCCCCACCCAGCTGCAGCCTCCCATTGCCTGCCTTGAGGGAATGCAGGAAGATGACAGGTTCTAGCACTGACCTCAGTTCTTTCATGGAGCTAGGGACAAGGACAGAGGGACGGTGGCAAGAGCTTAAGTGGTGGTAACTGGGTGAAGAAAGTGAATACGGGAAGTGGGGGCAGGGGGGTGCTCTTTTAAGCAAAGTTGATAGTTCAAATGAATAGCAAGTAAATGTAGCTGCTTGCATTACTCAAAACAGTTATGTGGACAGTTAAAGTATGGTTGAGTTTTAGAAAACAAAATTGATTGACCCCATGTCAATCAAGGGAACACATTTATGATCGGATTCAAGGTCTGTGTGTCTGGAACCAGAAGAGATCCTCTTAGAGCAGGTTCAGAGCCCCTTGTAAGGGCCTAGAAGGGAAACTGCCTCTGGAGGTTTTTTTTAGCTGAGCCCATGTCGGGAAGATAGACACATTGCCCAGCCCCACCCCACAGACCTTAGAACTGGGTCTCCTTGCCTTTTGCTCAGCCCTCTTTCAGGGGATCCAAGTGGCCAACTGTTCTACTGAGGATTTCACAATCATTTGTTCGACCTTTCTAGACAAGTGGGGGAAACCCATGCCAGGGACCTCCTGCCCATGTGTGAGTGGGATGCCCAGATGGCTACCACATTGGATATATCAAAACAGACTCGAATCTTGCCAGGAGCTAAATGGCCACCGCACAGGCAACTGCCACTGGTCAGAGAGATTTTTTCCTAAAAAGTTGCTTGTTTGGGGTACTTAGTTTCTTTAAGCATAGTTTGGGGGAGAGGAAAGCAGGTCAAAGTCGATCTCATGATTGATGTTTGTCGGGCATCTAACATAGGCTTGCAGACAGCTTGTTTTTCTGTAGTTTTGTATTCTCGGTTCTACTCTGACCTGAGTTGAGGTGCAGTGAGCTGGCCCTAGACTGGGGGTTGCAGGGATTCTGGGTTGAGTAAGGCATCATTCCTTAGGAAAACTCAGGCTCTTGGATATGCAAGACTCTCAGTCTGGGGTGAATCCTCATCTCCAAAAGAATCTGAAGCAAAGTTGCCCGCGTGGCCCCTTTTGTGGGCTTGACTTTGAGTCTGTGGTCTGAAAGAATGCTGGGCCTTTTGCTATTTATATGAAATGTCCAAAATAGACATATCCAGAGACAGAAAGTAGATTTGTAATTGCCAGGGACCCGAGAGATGGGGAGTGACTGCTAATGGGCATGGGGTTTCTTTGGGGGTGAGGAAATGTTCTAGAATTAGGCAGGGGTGATGGTGGTACAATCTTGTGAACATACTAAAAACCATTAAATTGTACACTTTGAAATAGTGAATTGTATGGTATGTGAATTCTGTTTCAATGTAAAAGAAAATGTGAAGCCTTTGAGCTGCTGCAGGGATTTGGAACTGAATTTCTCTGTCCCTGATCTCCACAGCTGTCTGGTACCTGGGCATGTCATAAGTTTGGGGTCAGGCATCAGTATAGAGGAGCCATGCTGAGACAGTGGATTCAAGCTTGGGCTCCCAGCCGTTGGGCTCATCTTCTGAGCTCCCAAGTTTTGGGGTCTAGGGGAGGACTGTGAGAAGAAGCCGTGGGGAGGGTGCAGGAGGTAAGGATCTGAGCAAGGCTTGGGCAGAGGAAGGAAGTGTTGCTGACGCCTGCCAGGGGAGCTTTGCAGCAATGCATAAGTATAGGAGCACCACCCAACCCTCCACACACCCCAGAGGGAGCAGCAGAGATCCTTGCTGTGGAGGTTAGCCATGGGTGAGCACCAGCCCTGGTGACAGGGAACCAGCAGGTTGAGTACCCTGACAGACCAGAATCAGACACTACTTCTGGGAGTGCCCATCTGAGAGAAGGAGACAGGCAAAAGAGAGCCTGAAAATGCCCTCCTTAGGGTAAGCTGTTGCAGAGTTAGGAGGCCCAGACACAGCAGCCGATCTGGTCAGGGCTGTGGAGGACAGGCCCACTGAACAGCATCCTGAAAGCTGACAAGTTGTGACATATGTAGACCAAGAGGGGACTGGCAGGCACATGCGTTCCCCTGCAGACAACATCCCAAGTTTTCCTACTTCACCCCTTCAGTGGCCACCCCCTATGCTCATCTCTTACCCAGATGACAGTATCGCTCTCCTCGAGGGTCCTTCTGCCTCCTCCCTAACCCACAACTCAGGCTCCACACATAAATCACATCACATCTTTCACCAGATCAAACTCTGCAGTAGCCTCCCATGGTTCTTGGAATAAAGTCAAACTACTACAGTCTATGCCATCGTCTTCCTCTCCCCCCACACAGCAGCCACCTCAGTGTTCTGATGGATTTTATAATCATCAGGACCTTCCCTATTTGTTCCCTTGACTTGGAATCTACTGCCCCAATGAGGTCTCCCTCAGCCTTCTCATTCTTCATTCTGAATTCAATTCAAATGTCATCATCCCAGGAACATATACTTATTGGAGACCCCTTCTGATCATGCAAGCTAGATTCTCCCTCAAAGCCTGGGTCTCCCTCTGCCCATCTTGGCAGTTCTGAAGGCCAAGGCATTTGGGCACCACTTCAAGATTCAGTTGCCATGCTTAGACTAGAGGCAGGCTATCTGCCAGTCCAGTCCGCTGTCCTGGCATCTCTGGGCTCATTGTGACTCAGTGGTAGGCCCCATGGAGACTGAGGTCTGAAGGACTGTCTGTCTCCACTTTGTGCCAGAGGCGCCTGGCTTAGGGACCTGGGGGCCAGCCCTGGAGCTGAGGACTCTGCTGTGTAGGTCCCTCCTCCCTGCCCTGCCTTGCCCAGGAGTTCTCGGGATGGGACGTGCTATCCCCAGGGCTAAGGTGGGACCCATAGTCACTCACTTTATCTTCAGGACCCTCACACACACACACACACACAGATTTATCTGAACAAGGCTCTCCTACCCCAGCCATATAGAAGCCCTTTACCTGAAATGTTAGGAGCTTCAACGGTTTTCTAAGATAAAGGTAAAAACCTTTAAGGACATTAGCTTAACCATTCTTGGACCGTTTCCCCAGTGGCCACCCCTGCATGGACCCCACCTGCCCTGCTACATGCTTCCCCTGGAATCTGCTTTTCAACAAGTTCTCCTAGTCATTCATTCTCCTGCACACTGCAGTAGGAGGGCTCTCCTGTATATACAGAAGATAGAG